TCCCCGATGGAGGCTGAATGATGAACTAGATGGACTTTTGGAATGAATGAACAAAACAATACTACTTTCTTTTCCTCCCTCCCTCCCTCTCCCTCTCAATCTTTTTCTCATAAGTCAATGGGAAGACAGCCAGTAGAAGTTTGGCTCAGGCTTTTCAAATTGTGATGTTTGGAAGAAGTGTGTTCTGACTAGCCGTTTCATAATTGCAGAAATCCCCATGTTCACAAAAGGAACTCCAGTGGGGGAAAAAAAATCATGATTCCTTACACCACCACCACCCCCAGTGAGTTGGCTTCTGATGACCTGATTAAGTAACTCTCAAATCACTGATTTAATATTTGTCCCATTAAAGTCCCGGGGAGAGAATTCCAGCCAAATATTTAGACCTCCCTTGCAAAAGGGAGACCAGTGTAACTCAAGCTTGTACACCGGATTGGTTGCACTCTGTAGAGTAGGAGAATTGGAGCTGCAGAAAGCCCACCAAGGGAGAATCATAAATTATTCATCAGCAGCCATTTTAGGTACACAAGTTATAACTGGAGCGATGCAACACGTATCCATTTCATCAAGCAAATATGTAAGTTCGCTTCGAACTGCAGTCAACTAATGACACATATATACTTCTCGGTGAAATAGCAATGGCCTTGGTGGGCTGCTGTTGAGGCAAAGCATAAAGAATTTTCACTCTTCAAGAAGCCACGCTGTCTAGTTAAGTGAACTGTAGAAGAAGCTAATGTCAGTCTTACCAGACAGGAAACCTGGCCAGATAAAGTAATGCTACTTTATTGTAAAGCTACATTAACAGAATGTGGCAAGTCTAAAACAACAGTTCTCTCACTGTCATCTTTACAGTCTGAGAACTTAGGGGGAAGGCCCTTCTTAAACTCTTGCTCCGCCCACTATGCAAATGTGGACTATGCTACCTCTTATGCTATTCTCCCAGCATCATCTCTTCTTCCTGTCTCCCAGTCACTCTCACCTATCATTACAGTTAATAAAAAGAGTACACAGTTTGCTTGTCCTCTCAGAAAATTACCATTTTGATATAACAATAGCACTTAGATTTATATACTGCTTTACAGTGCTTTACAGCCCTCTCAAAGCTGTTTACAGAGTCAGTTTATTCAGTGGTGGGATTCAAATAATTTGACAACCGGTTCTCTGCCCTAATGATTTCTTTCAACAACCAGTTCACCAAACTGCTCAGAAAGTTAACAACTGATTCTCCCGAAGTGGTGAGAGCTGGCTGAATCCCCACCACTGTTGCCCCCAACAATTTGGATCCTCATTTTACCCACCATGGAAGGATGGAAGGTTGAGTCAACCTTGAGCCTGGTGGGATTTGAACTGCCAAATTGCAGGCAACTGGCAGTCAGCAGAAGTAGCCTGCAGTAGTGCATTCTAACCACTGCACCACCAAGGCTCAGATATAGAAGGAAGTTCAATCAATGTCAAGAAATAGAGGAAAATTAAGGAAAAATGGTTCCCTGTTAAGGAAAATTTACTACTAAGGTAAGATTAATCCCAAGATTAATCACAGAACAGTTCTAATAAAGGCAAGTAAACACTTGCCTTTATTAGAACTTATAACAAACACTAGACCAGCTAGCAAATGAAATTTCCAAACAACTGTTTAAGTTGCCAAGGAGACAATTAAAGGGCTAATAGTTATATATCAACAACTGGAAACAGCTGTATAACAATAAATATAAAACAGAGTTATATTTCCTAGGGACTAGGGAAAAAACTTGTAAATATCTCTGTGCCAAATAACAGAAAAGCAAGCAAATACTGTATGCAAATTATCAATTTATCTCATACAGTGATTGCCTTCTGCAAAGTTTTCCTTCAGATCTTTCGCAGAAGAATAGATGAATAAGCAGTATTTATTAACGGCAGAAGAACGAGATCAGAAAACTAACTTAAGCTAGCATGTAGAGAAGGATAATTCAAGAACAATTACTTTTGTTTTCTTGACTATAAGAAGGGCTATTATTCTGTGAATCACAACAGAATGTGGAATTCATTACAGTTAATGGTTTTGCCAGAACACTTGATTATTCTTCTGAAGAATATTTTTAATAATCAAGAAATCATTATAAAAACTGAGTTTGAAGAAATAGAGAAGTTCAAAAAAAGAAAAGGGAGTGAAGCAAGGATACACATTGTTAGTAGGAAAAAGAACTGAAGATAGAAATCTTAATCATTTCAGAGAGGCATAGACTATCATTAATTAAGTGAAAGTAAATACAACTTAGAAGAAGTTGTTTTGAAAGTGAAAGTGGAAATTCTGTGTTAATTAGTTAAATAGTTAAAAGATATTGTTGACCAATACGTTTACTGAATTTATGGTTCACAACAAGGACGTTAAGATGGTACCTCATTTTGTTTCTTGGTCTCAATAATAGGTAGATGAACCACATGTTGGAAAAATAAAGAGAAATATTCCTGACAATTTTAAAAAGCATCACAAAGGTTAAAGATGCTTCTGTGACAGCAGGGAACAGAATAGTTAAGCAGAAGGCTTTCTTAGTGGCATTGCATAGCTGTGAAAGACTGACATTTAGAAAAAATAAAAAAAGAGGATTGAGAGTTTAGAATTATGGATCTCGAGGTACAGTAGTTACTAAGAGTACTATAGCCTGAAAGAACAAGCAAATTCAATTGTGGACTAAATAAAAATTGATTGCTCCCGTAAAGTAATGATACTGAAGCAGAAACTTTAAAACATTGATCACCTGATGTGAAGGGACTCTGGCCCTTGGACTGCAAAGCGATCAAACCAGTCAGTCTTAGAGGAGATCGCCCCTGACCGCTCTTTAGAAGGCCAGATCGTGAAGATGAAATTCAAATACTTTGGCCACCAAATGAGAAGGAAGAACTTATTGGAGAAGAGCCTAATGCTGGGAAAGGTTGAGGGCAAAAGAAGAAAGGGACAACAGAAAATGAGGTGGCTGGCTGGAGTCACTGAAGCAGTAGGACTCTAGAGGATGGTAGAGGACAGGAAGGCCTGGAGAAGCATTGTTCATGGGGTCATGATGGGTCGGACATGACTTTGCAACTAACAACAACAACAACAACAACATGAATGAATGAATGAATGAATGAATGAATGAATGAATGAATGAATGAATGAATGAACGAACAAACAAACAAACTTTGATAATGAACTAGAAAAATCCTGGAGCTATGGTGTTTGGAAGCCATATGCAGTTTGTGACCTTAAACATGGACAAAGAATTTGAAAGTTGATACTGATGCACTGATGATGCTATGTATTCTTTTGCCTCCCATCTCACTTTGAATCAACTCTGGGCAGCTTGCAATATTAAACATTACCTAGTAATGAAAAGTCTGTAAGGAAACAACCAAGCTCTGGGATCACCAATTCAAACTCCATTCAACAAGAGGCCAAGGTGTGATGGCGAAGTCTGGCCCTCCAGACTGCATGGAGGGGATGTTCTCAAAGGACTGAACCCCAGCTGGAGGGGGGGAAGAGAGGTGGCATGAGGTCCAGGTTGGATAAAATGGGTCATTTTGGATGGGGGATTTTAGGAGAATGAATGTGGTAGTAGTTAGAAAAGTTACCAATCAAATAGCCAGGTCATCACACATTGGTGAGATACAGTAGGTGGGTAAAGAGAGATAGGCCAGGCTTGGCGGAAGCCAAAGAGGCTGCAGGAAGTTGAGGGAGGAATAGTGACAGGAAAATGACATAATGGGGCTTGGCCATTTCAGAGGAAGAGGGAAAAGCAATTGACTGTCCCACTTCTTGTCTGATGCCTCATTCTATGATGCTAGATGCTGAATTGTTGGCACCCTTATCCCCAGACTGATCTGCTAAACACCAGCTCTGTTTGCTCTCCTCCATGATCTAGCTGGTGTATGTGGGAGGGGGAAGGGGAGGGAGGCAGATCTGGAATATATTATTGAGACCCGATTCAAGGAAGGAAGTTTCTTGTCAACAATTTGTTGACAAGATGTTGACACTGCAACATCTAAAATCTACATGTTGCAGTGACTCTGAGGCTAAAGGGGCTGGTTTTCCAGAAAACATGATTAGTAAGCAAGTAATGCAAGCAAGTCTTTGCATTTGAAGCTGGGTATTATTAGATGAAGCCCACAGTGCCTCTGGGGTTCTAGAAAGTGTAAAATGAAAAACCAAAAACAAGTATAGGGCTAAAGATTTAGAGGGGGGGGAGTTGAGGTTTTTGAAAGAAAAGTCTAAACTGCACCCGACCCCCATCAACTTGAGGATAAATTACACGTTCATACCACTTCCAAATAGGGTTGGCAAAGATTCCTGTCTGAAACCCTAGGGAGATGTGGCTAATCAGGAAACATAGAACATACGTCAAATCTGCTTCTGGGCAATGCTGGGAAAGATTGAGGGCAAAAGAAGAAGGGGACGACAGAGAATGAGGTGGCTGGATGGAGTCACCGAAGCAGTAGGGGTGAGCTTAAATGGACTCCGAGGGATGGTAGAGGACAGGAAGGCCTGGAGGAATGTTGTCCATGGGGTCGCAATGGGTCAGACACGACTTCGCAATTAACAACAATAATCCTATGATTTATATTATATCTTAAGTGCAATTGTATCTCACAAAATTTGGACAATCTTTCTTGATCAAGCAGCACATTCCTTCACAGGCAGTCACTGGGAAGCAGCGTAGTGAGCCGGAATTCCCAACACTGCCCAATGGATCCACTGATATTCTGGAATAAGCTCCTAGCATCCCAATCGAAGCATTTGATCTCTGAGTTGCAAATCACTTGTCGAGTGTTACTCACACCTGTTCAATTCCTGAATCATGGCAAATGACTAAACGGAAGTATGGCCAAAAAAAAAAAGTGCACAAAAGCCAAATTATAAATTACCCTTTTTATTGAATATCAATAAATTGTATATAATTATATATAAAAAGTATTTTTTTAAAATTCAGTATAAAATTGTGGCACAAAAATATATAAATACCAGTGTACCTTTGAAATGTAAACATACCCTTTTATCCCCCCCCCCAACCTCCCGTCTTTTTTTGTTGTTGTTGATGTGGAAACAATGTACAATAGAAATGCATTCAGGAGGCACCTGTCAATAACCTTAAGTAGCTCTTTTGGCACACACCTGTCAATGGGGCAGCCTTCCCTGCCCAGGCAGCTATTGAATCGCCTGACAAGTGCCTGCTATTAGTCACAGTTCTTTTGAAAAAAAGCAGTTGTTAAAAGAAGTCATATTAACAGGTGCTTGAGTGCATAGCTGCTTTTGTAAACAGGAGCCTTGCTTTGAATGGCTTACCCAGTGCCTTCTGCAGACATGAGTCTTTGAAGCACTGCGAATTATCCCTCTGCTGACCCAGAACTAATGAAATACTGTATCCCTGCATAGCTGCACTAAGGAGAGTTTGAGATGGTAGGGAGGCCGTTTTTTTTTTTAACACTTAGCTTTCTGCCCTTTGTTTAGAGACATATCAATTCAGGGTCATGAGTTACTGTGAATCTATTATTCTAGTTGTCTTCTTTTTAAGGGTTAAAAACCCCCGAAAGAACTGATCTTTCAAGCAAGGTAGGCACGAGACTCGGAATATTTTTCCCCATTTGTAAAACGTTAGCGAATGCTGTTAACTCAAGATGGCTTTGAAGAAGTTGGAAGAAATTCTGAGGGGAGAGGACTGAGTGGCTGTTAAGATATGAAAGCTGGCATGATTAGTGACAGTAAACTTTGGAGTACCAGATGCAGGGGGCAGGAGAAAGAGGTAATCGTTATCCTTATAATCTGCCTACAAGGATGTATCTGATCCCAGTTGAGCAGCTCAAGATGTTTTTAGCTACATGTCAGTTTTTGGAGCAGCTGTTCCCATATTGGTACCCTGCAGAATGTGGGCTCTAACATAACTGAATTCCCTGGCCAAAAAAATATATATCCATATTTCTAAAGATTCTGGGGACTGTTATCCACCCTGGGGAGCACCAGGTTTTAGAAGCTCATTTTAAAATATCATCCCATGTTTGTTTGGCAACCCATCATTTCTGATGAAGCAATGGTCATGCATGGGCTTGAATCAAGAAACATTTTGCCACCAGGAGGGCCCAGGGAAGGGAATACAGAGACAAATCAGGTTTGGAAAAATTCTCTTGAAGACAAAGAGTGAAAGAAGCAATTGTGTATGATGCTTTAAGGCTTGAAGCAGCTGGAAACAACCAGATGTCAATATAAGCTGTTTGTGGCAGCTCAGCTGAACTATTTTCCTAGGGACACTAGTTAACAATAAATGGCTTGGCGTGGAGGAGGAGTCCATGGGATTCAACGGGTCCCAATGCAGCCCGTTTCTTCGTGTTTGTGGAGAAGGGACATGCGAGAGAAAGTCCGGGAGCAAGTTTTACACTGATACTTCTTAACATCTGAATGGGTCTGCAGATGAGCACGGAGATTGGAGCGGTCAGCAAAGGCCCGGCTACAGTGTGTGCAGGAAAATGGCTTTTCCCCTAGAAAGATAAAAGGAGAAAAAGGATCATCAGCCTGAATCTTGACAAAACATGTGACAGAAGAGAAAAAAAATCACCTCCTGACCCTTTATATCCTAATCTTTCACTATTAGTAAAAGACACATGTTTATGGAAATCCAAGATTCATCCCAGGTTTAAGCAAATCTTTAGAGCACAATTCATAGTTTGGAAATAAATTCTGCTTGAATCATCAAATATATAAATGGTTTTGTATGTAAGACTGTTGTTGCAAAGACATGTCCGACCCATCATGATCCCATAGACAATGTTCCTCTAGGCCTTCCTGTCCTCTACCATCCACCAGAGTCCATTTAAGCTCACGCCTACCTACTGCTTCTCTCCTTCCAGCCACCTCATTCTCTGTCCTCCCCTTCTTCTTTTGCCCTCAAGCTTTCCCAGCATTAGGCTCTTCTCCAGTGAGTCCTTCCTTCTCATTAGGTGGCCAAAGTATTTGAGATCTGACTTTCTAAAGAGCAGTCAGGGTTGACCTCCTCTAGGACTGACTGGTTTGATCCCCTTGCAGTCCAAGGGACTTGCAGGAGTCTTCTCCAGCAACATAGTTCAAAGGCCTCAATTATATGCAAGACATTAGGCCACATTTAAATCAGGCAGATCTGGATTCCAAAATAAAGGGTTAAAAACCAAGGCTCCCTATTTTAAAGGACAAAGAGCAGGGCCTGAATTTTGAGGCTGGATTGTGCTTATCAAGGATGTCCTTAAAAGCTAAGGAAAGTAGTCTGTTCTTGGATGGGAGACCACTAAGTAATTCCTATACTAGGTTGTGGGTTAACATCTCCCCCCCCCTCTCCTTCCCCAATTCTTGCCACAATAGTTGTATCCAAGTTAGCATCAAAAATCCACCTGGAATCAGGAAGCTTTTACTTTTATTCTAATGGAGTTTGGTTCAAAGTAAGTGAGTAGGAAACTCCAACAAGATCCTATGCATATTTATCTGGAGAATAATGTTCTTGGATACCAGAGGTAATACATGTATTGCACCGGTCTGCATAAAATACAAGAGCTCATAGCATGGTGCAAAATGCCCTCTTCTGCCAAGTGCAGCAAAAAGCTGAAACATTAATTGTATCCCCCATTCCAATATAACCATATCCTTCCCGGGTTTTGCTTCTCCTCTCCCCCCCTCCCTCCTCCAAGCCTCAACCAACTTAAGCAGGGTCGAATTCCTAACAGGAAAATTCCTTCTGGAGCTCCCTTAACAGGCTGCTCAATTTGGAAAGCACAATTAAGTCTTTCTGGCTTCCTTCAGGCAGTCGTCTTTAGTAGGACTTTTAAAAGGGTGTGAAATCAGCACTAAGTAACAATTAAAGGATCCTGCCACCCCCCCACCCCCCTTTCCACCCACCCAACACAAAAGCTGCTTGGGGGGAAAAGCATTGTAAATGTGATACTCCTTGGATTAAACACTCAAAAAAAAAAGCCGCAGCTGTGGAATCTGGTGTTCGGCCTGGGGCGTTACAGTAACAGGTGCAGGAAGGGAAGCGCAAGCCCAGCTCCCTTAAGAGCACCTGCCAAGGCTGCTCCCGGGGTTTCCAAGAGCCCTTCCCCATTTCCACGGTCCCATTAGGCAAACAATGCTGGAATGAAGCATCTCCCAACACCACTTTTTTGTGTGTGCCCAGAAGCCAGCTTATTCTGCTTGCAACCAGGGAAGGCGTCAGATATCACAGAGGGAGCTTCAGGGGCCTTCCATATAGGAAAAATGAGGAAGTATGCTGTTTCCCCCACCCTTCCCCTCCCCCTCCCTCCCTGCAAATGTATATGGCCCCTGTTTAGCACCTTAGGTTAGACAAGAAAGAAGAGGAAGAAGGGGGGAAGAAAATAGGAAATACTTTGCAAGGAGGGTTGAAAAGCAAATACAGGCAAGGGAAAGAGAGGAGGGCTTGGTCACTGGCTTGCCCCCCATTAGTCTGCAATGCTAGCAAGCCCTTTTTAGTACAATAACCCACCCCTACACACACACACACATTGTGTGTGTGCTTGAAATGACTCAAGGCTGATTCACATGATGGAGTGCCTGCTGAGCTGGCTTCAAGGCGTGTGCGTCCAAACTAAATAGGCATGAGATGATGTGGCTGTGAAATCACTTCCCCAGGACCACTCCAAAACTTTATGTAAACTAACAAAAGCAATGGGAAAAGGGTGGGAGTAGTAACCAGGTAGCTGCTTTAGGATGGCAGTGTGTGCAAGAATACTAACTGAATCAATCCAATTTTCTATGCTTACAGAATATCTAGGACCACCATTCCCATGACCTGCATTCACACAACATGCTGGAATGTTGGCTAATTTTTGGACCAATGTGTTGTGCAGAGGCAATGGCCTCTGGTTAGAAAGATGGGATAAAAACCAAGTAATATAGGTACAGAGGAAAAATGCCGTTGACTTATAAACATTAACCTAGATTTGCTTACAAAGATATTCTAGCTTTCCAGGATACCCTTTATTTGGGGTTATATGGACTTAAGCCACATATTAAACTCTAAATTAATTGAATTTTGTTGCATACTGTGCTATAATGGGACTAGTTTGGGGCTCTTCAGATGTTGTGGAAACATAACCAGTGAATACAAAAAGGGAGCCCAAAATCAATTAAATCAAGAGCTTGGGCAAGTATTAAGCCTAAGGAATGCAGATTTCGGGCAAATCTGTTTTTAACAGGTCTTAATTAAAACAGCAATTTTTTTTTGTCTTTTCAGAGAAACACCCTCTGGAGACCCTTATCTCCTCTGATAAGCTAACAGGCAGCGTTGACGTGAATCAGGTTACAAGCAAGTTAGAGAGGACTGGGGATAGAGGAAAGATAAGAGAGGAAGATAACAAGGACCAGAGACAACAAACAGAAGAATTCAGCTTTACCAGTGTGCGTTCTGATGTGGCCCTGCAGCAGCCATGGCCTTGAGAATGCTTTGCCGCAGATCTTACACACGCAGGGCAAGGTATGGCTTCGGATGTGCATCTTGAGAGCCCCCAAGCTCACATATTCCTTTTCGCAATATTTACAGCTGAAAGATTTCCTGGTCTGGGAATCACAATGCAACTGTCTGTGCTTGGAAAGGCCGGCAAAAGTGGAGTAGGATTTGCTGCACTGGCTGCAGTGGAATTTCTCGGCTTCGGTGGCAGAGGAGGCCGGGCTGGGCGGGTCAGAGCTGGTCTTGCCATCTTCCTCTTCGCTCGACAAGGAGGTCAGGTCCAGGGGCTTGGAATCGGGGCTGGGTGGAGAAGCTGCACTTTTCTTGTACTCCGATTCTGAGTTGAAGAAATTAGAGAACAGCCCAGTGTCCCAGACTAGAGGAGGGTAGTAAGAGCCAGCACTCAAGAGGTCTGGTTGTGGGATGGCAGACAAGGGATATTTGTCATACAAAAAGGGAGAGACGATCACTGCAAGGAAGAGACCAAAGGCAATCGGTTAGAGAGGGGAAAAAAAACAACCCTGCAGAACTGGACACAACAACCCTGCCTTCTTTTGACATGCTTCAGGGAGCCCTTGAATAAGTTGTCTGGGCACATGCAAAAGGCCAGAAATCTGAGGAACAAAATCTGAAGCATCCCTTTGCGTTGCAATTTAGCCACGGGGGAGGTCAAAACATCAAAACCTACCCAGCATAAGGCAGCATTCCTTGGAAAGCTTCCCTGGCTTAAAGCCCGGTTTTTAAGAGTGGTGGCAAAGGCAGACGGGAGTTTTGCATGCCCAAGTCAAAAAAAAAAAAAAAGCAGCTGGTTTACAGCAAGCATTCCGCTGCAGAGCTCTTCGGAAGGAAGGAAGGCCCGCCGAGTTCAAAGGGATTTCGTTCCCCATGGACTACTTGTGGGAGCTTGTTCCGCTGTCTCCCAGCCGAGCCCGACTGGATGGCACCTAAACTCACCTTAAAAACCCAGGATTACTCCCTTCCCTAATTGCTAGGTTAGTATCCGCCGCTCCGCGTCCTCCGATCCACATGTTTCTCCTGCCCCAAGTTATTCGCGGGAAACTTGCAGCAAGAGTCGCTGCGCTGAATCCGGCACCCACTCGCCCACCCAAGGCGGTCCCGGACGGGCCGGTTGAAGTTGGCCAGTCCTCTCGCCCCCCCGCCCCAAGCACTGCCACAGCCCCCATACCAGCGCCTCTCTTATCCCGGGCGCAGCGCCTACCTGTCTGGCTTTCCAATTCGCTGTAATTGGGCTTCTTGCTGGCCGAAAAGTGTTTCTTGACGAGGAAGGAGCGGGGCATCTTTCCGGCGGAGGCGGCTCCGATGCACTGCGGTTAAAAAAAGCAGCCCACTGCAGTCTCGCCTTGCCGCTGCTTCTTTTTCTCCTTTCCTCCCTAATAAACCGGGATCCTGCCTCCTATCGCTCGCCCAGGCCGCCGCGATGTAAAGCAATAGGAGCGGGCTCAGCCACGAGCTTAATATGGGCCGGGCGGCAGGTGGGCGAGGCCGATCCGCCTCCCCCTCTCCCCCCCGTGTCACTTGGCAGCCAATGGACAAAGGCAGGGAGGGGTCCAGCTGCGAGCCTCTTCCCAGCAGGTGCTCCGCAAAAAAAACCCCACCGGCCAGGCGGAGGGGTACTACGGAGTCGCCGGACCGCTCGACAGAAACCGCGGGGGTGGGGTGGGGTGGGGTGGGGTAGGGTGTCTAGCCAGGCATCACCTTCACTCGGAGCGGGGATAAGAAGAACCCGTCTGCGGGTCGGACTCGGCACAGGGCAGCCTTGCCTGAACGGGGTTAAGGGCAGAGCTCTTCAAACTTGGCAACTTTTAAGACTCGTGGACTTCAATTCCCAGAATTCTCCAGCCAGCTGCAGCTGGCTGGAGAATTCTGGGAGTTGAAGTCCACGAGTCTTAAAAGTTGTCAAGTTTGGGGACCCCTGAATTTAGGGGATCAGCCTTTAGTGTCGCATCCCCTTTCCGCGAAGTCTAGCAAAACGCGCCTTAAGCCATTCCTGCCTGAGCGACTTGTGTTCCCGGGTGTCCATTACGCGGTTGGCGTTCCCCCCCCCCTTTCGGAACGAAGCCCACGCGGTTCAACGAGGTTTCCCGATCGAAACACGTGGAAGCGCTTGAAGCTCTTCTTACTCCGGCGGCTTTCCAACTGCGTTGGGGTTTATTAACGCCCCACAATCCCCGCCCTACCTTGCGCTGTGCTGCCTTCCCGTCCCGACACACCAAACGCTTGCAAGTAAAAAGTACAAGGAATCGACACACACACGTCTCCAGGGAGGCAACGTCCCGCGATCGCCACCCTTATTTCGAGAACCTCCGGAGGGGGCTTTAACCCCGAAATATGGGTGGCGATCGCGGGACGAAGATGCGTCCGTTTCCTGACGCGTTTCCGGGGCAATGGAAGGAGTGGGTCCTGCTCTCCTCCAAGTTAAGAAAAGGGATATTTGAAATGCTGGGTCAGCATTTACTTCCAGCACCGCTTCGATTCCCTAGAGGGAGGAGGGGGGGAAATGATGCTTGCAAAAGACACGTGCTGCGGTTGTCAGAAACGGGGAACCGCCCGCCGACCGTCTTCCTACGCGGGAAATCCGCAAAGCGTTTCTCCTCTCTCCCCCCACGCCCACCCCACGGACCATAACGGTCTTCCGCGCCGGCCCTCGCGAGTTTTTCCCTCTCCGATGAGTATTGCGGACACGCGGGGTGGACGTCCGTTTCCTGAGCGGCAGGTCATAGAATCCCCGCGAGGTTGATGCCCGTCTTGTCCGCCGTCCCCCAAATGCTTTGGGGGGGCTGAATTTGGAGAAATGTAAAAGCAAGATTCTTGCTTTGAATAGCAACAGCACTTAGACTTATATACCGCTTTACAGTGCTTTTACAGCCCTCCCTAAACGGTTTACAGAGTCAGCATATGGACCCCAACAATCTGGGTCCTCATTTTAGCCACTTAAAGGAAGTACAGTGAAGGATCTGAGTTCTCAAGGCTGATTATTCAACAGGTGGTGCAGAAGCCTGTTAAGATAAATTTGTGTCTAAATCCAGCCACAGTAACTTAACAGGGCTCCCTTGTTCCAGCTAGGTGCTGCCCTGATGTATATTGGGAAGTCTGACACATGGTGCCTAACTGGTGGGGCACACAATCTTGGGAAGTCTGACACATCTGTGGGCACCCGGTTGGGAAAACCCGAACAACATGCCAGAAAAGGCTATATAATGATTGGTGGTGATGTTTTGGCTTTATTACAGTATCTGCTGTCGGTACATGGAAATTTAAGTGCATCTATAGAAATGATTTAATAGATTATGATATATGAACGAGGCACCAGGAACACTGAGGAAAGGAAGGCTTACTGTTAGAATGACTTCATTTGGCTCTCCGCAAGGCCATGAGCGCCCTCTCTGGGATCCCTTCAGCAAAAGTCCCCAAATCACTCTCAGAAGTGAAACGTTCAGCAGAATTAATACACTTTTCTTCTATTACCATAAGTCCACCAGGTACCTAATGCAGGATCACAGCCTCAACCAATTTGCTTTGGACTTCTAGTAAAATCAACTTTAATATTCTTTGTTGTTGCTATTGTTAGTTGCGTCATGTCTGACCCATCACAACCCCATGGACAACAGTCCTCCAGGCCTTTCTGTCCTCTACCATCCTCTGGAGTCCATTTAGGCTCTTCTCCAGGGAGTCCTTCCTTCTCATTAGGTGGCCAAAGTATTTGAGTTTCATCTTCAGGATCTGGCCTTCTAAAGAGCAGTCAGGGTTGATCTCCTCTAGGACTGACCAGTTTGATTGCCTTGCAGTCCAAGAGACTTGCAGGAGTCTTCTCCAGCACCATAGTTCAAAGGCCTCAATTTTTGGCTTTCAACCTTCCTTATGGTCCAACTTTCACAACTTTCATTTAATATTCTTTATGTTGGCCAATTTTGACCTGGATTTGTTTCTTGGGTAAGAACTGATTGTTAACAAGTCACCATTCCTTCTCTAATTGCAGCATGCAGAAGACTTTCTGCTAATAATGTACTTCCTGTTAATAGTGTTCAAGCTGACATGTGGATACACTGATTTGGATTCTTGATTAACAGTCTTTTCCACCTCTAACCATTCTATGATCATCCCGATACTAAAATTGCTTCCCCATCTGCTTTTGTTCCCAGTATCAGTAAATATAGTTATTAAAATGACAATGGGGCAGGGGGAACTGGAGGTCAGTTTAACAGGTGGCACTATGGTTATGTTAAGTAGCCCAAATTGCAAACAAACTTCAGTTTGTAAACTGAGATTTCAAACAAGCCAAGATATGTATTGAAATGCAAAGATCTCAAATCATGCTACTGATAAGCCCATCAAATAACCTGCTGAGACAGTTTTACTAGTTGCCAGCTTCCCCCTTTTCTTCTAAAGGATTAGACAAATTATTTGAGATTAAGATCACCTAAATTAAAATCACCTAGAAAGGTGTAAATGGATTGCGAAACTGCTATTGCTAACAGAGAACAAAGTTTAATTAGATTATTTTAAATGCAATCAGGTAACAAGCTTGTAAATGGATGATGTCCACCTGAGAAATTGCAACAGCATTACTTACCATAGAAGGGGAACTGTAGGTAAAATTATTTTCATCTGAACAAAGGAAAACAATATTTCAAGACCTTCACAATTAGTTCCTTTAGGGGTATAGTTATATATAGTTCATAATTCTTTGGAAGTAATTTTTTGAGCTCAGTGCTATTCATGTTGATAAGATAAGTCCTATTGAATAGACATGAATAAGATTGCATTAAAAACACCTATCAGTCTTTGGTTTAATAACCTCTAAGCAAATTTGCATATAGCATACTTTCAATGTGGATGATGCATGTTGAACTATTAAAATGATGAAAGTGAGAGACATTTTAATGCTGGTAAGTAGGTCCATTATAGTAAAAAGGGAAATGGTAATAATGATACAAGAACTTTATTAAACTATTCTACATGGAACTAGAAAGGGTTTTTACTTCATCAAAAATATTAATCAGAATCAGTACAAAGCAAAAGAGACCAAAATGAGATCTTGCATCCATAACTGAAAAACATAAACTTGCATCTTACAGTAACTTGTGACTTGGTTCACATGTTGCACACTAAGCCATAATGTGATTTACTTAGCCTGCTGCATGCAGAATCTGGTTGTGACTTATTAGAACTCAAGGTTAAGCAAAAGTTTGTCAACAGGGTGTACTCTCAAGCAAGAAAACAACAAATGTTTTCTAAACAAAATTTCTAACCTAGAAGAAATGTATGGGGTTTCCCCCCCCAATTGTATCTGCCCAGAATTAACATGCTACTAAAATAAATTTTCACATTAATCAAAGAAATACTAAGGATGATTCAAATGACAATTAAACCTATTATTGACACCATCCTGCTCAAAAAGAAGAAAAAGCAAAGAACAATAAAATGAAAGCAAAGCATCTTTAGACCAACGGCCAAATGGTGGGGCTGATCTCACGTTTAGTGTTATGAAAGAATGTGGACAAAACTGTTCCTTGATAAATTCTATAGTCCCAAGGCTGGGTTTGCAACAATGTGCTAAGTTAACTCCCACCAAAGTAAACACCCATTCAACCTTTCAAAGGCAAAACCTCTGTCCCTTGTGTCCACTGACAGAAGGAAGGGACTCTTTTCAAACAAGAGAGGGCAAGGCAATGTCACCATAGTGGTAACTCCCTATTGTGCTAAAGTGTTCCAAAAATGAATACAATTAGGTGTAGTTAAAGGTGGGTTTACATTAGTCAGACAATGGTTGCTGGTCATAAACTGAGATAGCTATTGACTGAAAGATTTAGGCTGTGTTGATACACTTAGACTGATTAAACTCAAGTACAAGGGAATCTTGTAGGGGAGGGGGAAGATTTGGAGAAGGAGTTCTAATTTAACTTGCCAAGAAAAAGAAGTTGTCCAAGCTTCTACTTTTCCACATGGTGTTAATGTCCTTTGACTAAGTTCTCTACAAAGACTAATTTGGGGAAGGAGAAGTGAAAAAGAAGCACCCATGGTTTCATCAAAGGAGATTGCGTACCTTCAGATTGTGTGTGTGTAAGAGAGGCATAGTCACGAGCAAGTAAGCAGCTCAGGCAATCTGCTCACCTTGGTCTGGTGATTCGGGGAAATTCTGATCGGGTAGTGATAACTTCATTGTAAAGGGACCTGCTGGAAGAAAGGCTACAGCCACAGCCTGGTCATGTGCCCTGAATTGCATTATCCACCTGTAATCCAATCAAAGTCATCAAGGAAGGAAAAAGAATGGAATTTTATCACAATGGTGTTAAACTTGCAAAACTATATTTTTCCATTTTGTTTTGATGTTTTAGTGGCTTAGATTGGATGCATTTGTTGAGAGAGTATTTTCAACACTATAATAAAAGTCTGAATGAAAGTGAGATTAAAAAAAAAAGACTTTGGAAACTTTGCCTTTAAATTCCCTGTAATTGAAGCTAATGTAAGGATCCATGAATTCAATCCAGGGGATTAATTTATGGGTCGTTAGACGCCATTTGTGCTCATGACTTGTAGGTTAGTCGTTTGGCTAAACTATGGCTAAACTATGGCTTACGTGTGTTCTCTGAATAAGAAGGATTTAACTGTGATTAGATTGTTTTTGATTAGGAGAAAAAAAGATCAGTTAATTTTCCTTTAAAGGTGGAAATGGCTAGCAGGAAAAGCTACAAAATGGGGCTGTTCCAGCCATAACATCTCTATCATTCTCATCATTTTTCATCCTCCTCCTTAGAGGTGTTAAAACAGGCATTGCAGGCAGAAGAGAGACAACCTTCTACCTCAGAGTGTATGCCTTCAAACTTCAGTTGATCTAATATTTTTGTCTCTTTAGATCAGTGTTTCTCAACACTGCTGGCTGGGGAATTCTGGGAGTTGAAGTCCAGACATCTTCAAGTTGCCAAGGTTGAGAAACACTGCTTTAGATTTTACATCCTCAAAAGCAATTCATTGATTAGCAAAAGTGGTTGGGCTACTGCCCAACAATATTGGCCATACTGGACATTTTTCCATGGGGAACATCCAGAAATAAGTCTTATAACTATAGTTCCCAGGTGAGCATGGATCAGCATAATGTGCCAGTGCATCAATGTTTCTTTAGGAGTCTGGGATTCAATGGCATTTGAACTTGAGAGATGCAGGTTCAAATCCTATTTCAGCTGGGAAGCTGTGCAAATTATAGTGAAACCCAGTGAGATGTAGTAGCTAGGAGGCTG